AGGCAGGCTGAAGGGGTAGGTGGGAGGAAAACTGGGGATATTGGTGGCGGGTAATATGCACTGGTGAAGGGATGGTGTTGGAACACTGTATGAATGAAACTCAGTCATAACAGCTTTGTACCTGTATAATCTCATGGTGATTCAATAAAAATAAAATATTATTCAGTGTTTAATTTAGGAAGAGTTAAAAATAAGAATATTTGGGGGACCTCGGGACAAAAAAATATGAAAACTACTCAAAACTCTTTAGCCTCCTTGCATCCAAGTCTACTGAGGGACAGTTTTAGGTAAAGAACCCTGTCTTACCAGTTGTAAAAGCCAAAGGAAATAGAGGAAGGAAAAGGCATTCTTTTTTTTTGATGTGGAAAAAGCTCAATAGAAGAAAATAGGAAAGCTGCAGGGTCAGAAGAAAATTCAAATGAGCCAACCCCTCCCAATGTCAAAAAGCACCTTATCAGGGAAGAAAGTCAACCAATCAACATAGTTACAGACTACTGGCATGAGGATGATGTGCAAGAATGAGGATTCTCTATTTTGCAAATGGAGAAACTGTCTTCTTATTGGGGGTGGGGGGAGGAGAAGGAGGTTGAGGCACACCTAGCACCACACTGAGGCCATTCCTGGCTCTGTGCTCAGGAATGATCCCTAGTGGTACTCAGGGGACTTATGCAATACTTTTCATTGAACTGAGACCAACCACATGCAAGGCAAGCACCTAAACCTGTACTATCTCTCTAGCCCACCAAAGCATCTTCTAAAACGAGTAAAAATGCAAGCTCGAGGACACATAAGAGTTCAAAGGAAAGTCAAGACTAGAAAGTGGGTGTCCTGAACTTCATCCAGGCAATCAAAGGGAGGAAAAAAAGTGAGCTAGAGAAGAGAGCCAGGAGGACCATTTGCTGGTCATGGTGCCAAGGCATAAAAGGGAGATAGATGGAGGAAGGTCTGAAGATACTCTGAACCTTTCCCTGGATTCCCAAGCTGTCTTCTGAAGGAGGGAATTTGGATATTATAAGGGCAATGGGATAAACACACATGATGTTCCAAGTCTATTGACTAAATGAATGGTGATGAGTCACCAGATTTGGGGTAACATTATGCAAAAGCTGATCCAAGTGGATTGCCTGCTTTCCAAATAGGTAGTGGGCCATGAGGCTGGCAGATCACCAACTCATCTCCTCATCAAGAGAATCATTTCAAAAGAGATCCAAGGAATTTTGGATCTGGTAGGGTCACTGAACAAGTGAGGTCAGTTTAACCTATTAGGAGGCCAGCACCATTTTTTTCCTGTAAATGAAATCAACCACCATTTGTTTTACAGTTTACAAAGCACTTAGGGTTAATCATACCTAACTAACTGACTAGAGTCCTTCGAGAAGACCAATGTGCATGTGGACAAAGGCAAACTCATGGGTGTAATCTATTTAGATCTTCAAAAGGCCTTTGACAAGGTCCCACACCGAACACTATTTCAAAAAGTTAAGTCACCACGGAATTGAGGACTTGTGTTTGGAAATGGCAAGGGAAGTGGTTGAGATGCTGGAAACCAAGACTAGAGAGTAAGCTTGGATTTCTCTTGTGATGGATGAACAGTGCTGGGACCCAAGAGTTTTGTGGGGACTAGTTAACATTTTGGCGAATTATGTGCCTGACTGTTCAAGGCCCAGAAGCTTTTCTAAGGAGCAATGACCCAAAGAGACATTTTAATGTTAATTGGGGTGAGCAGAATGAGAAAAAGCAGAGTCTCCCTAGTTCTGAATCCTGTTTTTGTCCTTACCAACTGTGTGAAAAGCCATTATTCCCAGAAGTGCTATAGAAATGGTCTGTGACAATGGATATGACGTACTAGTTCCATGCCTGATGTTTTTCCTCTATTACTTTTCACTTGCTGTGTCTGTGAAACAGTCCATAAATGGTACCAAACTCTGAGTGGGCACATTATGTCCTTAGAACCAAACTTGGAGCCACTGCAGACAATTTCTTTTTTTTTTTTTTTTTGTTTCCCGAAGTCGCAGACAGCAGTGCTCAGGGAACCATGTGGTACTAGAGATCTAATCTGGTACTCCTGCATGCAATACACTCGCTCCAGCCCTTTGAGTCATCTCTTTGGCCCTGTAGACTATTTTAAAATTCTTTTTCATTTTTTGGGGAGACACAGGATGTGCTTAGAGCTTATTCCTGATTCTGTGCTCAGGGATCACTCAAGATAGTGCCTGGAGGACCAAATGTGGTACTGGGGATTGAACTGAGAATTGAACCAGGTTCAGCTATTACACGGCAAGTGCCTTAACCCACGTTCTCGCTTTCCACTCACCCTCTCTTGCAGGTTTGTACCTGTATAATCTCATGGTGAAAATTTCTTGAAAACACTTATACAATGTGTTTTTGTAATTCAAAGGCCAAAGAGAAGTGTGGGCCAAAACGATTGTAAAAGAGTTCACGAATGAAAAGAAACAATCAGGGGGAATGGAGGGTCTGCAAGACAGTAGGAATTCCAGATGCGTTAGAAACTTTACCCCTCAATTAAACCCGGTAATAATCCAGGGCAGTTGGGGGTAGCAATTCCCATTTGATGGATTACAAAGAATACTAAGAAACAAGTTCAGGGTGGTCTAAAGAGACAGGACAAAGGAAGACGCTTGCCATGCACCCTACTGGTCCACGTTATAATCCCATATCTGACCACCATAAAGGGTCACAGTGCCAGGAGTAGGCCTTGAGTACTGCTAGGTGTGCCCCCTCACCCCATTCCCCTACCCCCCAAAAAAAGAAACAAAGAAACGTATTGTGGGTTGTGTTAGTTCATTTAGAAAGAGTCAGACTTCAAATATATGTTTGTTGTACTCCCAAACCTATCTTTTTCATGGCATCACCCTTAGAATATACTTTTAGGAATTGGTGTTTAATGTATAAGGCTATTCTTATCCATGGGTGAGTGGTAGGAAATGAAATTGGAAGGGTATTTTAGGGTAGATCAAAAGGTCCCAGAGCTTTGCTAAGGAGTCTGATTTTTCTACTCCAAGAAATGGGGTAGCTGAGCTGTGGAAGGGATGAGATGCCTTAGAAAGATAACAATGGTAGCTGCACAAAAAAGAACATGGTGGAATCTTCTGGTTCTCTAATCTGCCAGGTCCTCAATATTCTAACCTTAACCTAGAAGCCTAGAGACCTTGTAAAATGTGATTAACAACAGTATATGCAGGAAGATGGGAAGGGGCAGGAAAGAAAGTAGCAAGAGAAGCAGGAAAGATAATGATAAAGAATATGTAAGGATTTATGGCTGGAGCGATAGCACAGCGGGGAGGGCGTTTGCCTTGCACATGGCCGACCCGGGTTCGATTCCCAGCATCCCATATGGTCCCCTGAGCACCGCCAGGGGTAATTCCTGAGTGCAGAGCCAGGAGTAACCCTTGTGCACTGCTGGATGTAACCCAAAAAGAAAAAAAAAGAATATGCAAGGATTTAGGGCAAGGAATATGATGACTTTAGTTATTTTCTAAGCCTTTTCGGGGTCACACTTGGAGGCGCTCATGAATTACTCCTGGCTCCGCACTCAGGGATCACTCCTGGTGGGCTTGAGGGATTATATGGAATGCCAGGGATCGAACCTAGGTCAGCTGCCTGCAAGGCAAGCATCCTACATGCTATACTATCTCTACTGTCCCTTACGTTTTTTAAATTTTGTTTTGTCTTCCTTTATTTAGTTTTTGGGGTCATACCTATCAGTGTACAGGCACAATTTCTATCTCTCTATTTAGGACTAACCCCTGGTAGTGCATGGCAGGGGGCGGGGTGGGGGGAGGGATATGCAGTGCTAGGAATTAAAACCATAGTCAGCTGCATGCCAGGCAAGCGCCTTAATCCCTGTACTATCTTTCCAGCTGCACATTAGGTGTTTCTTTTTAAAAAACATAATAAATAAAGAATTTAAAGAAATCATAAAAGATTAATTGAAAGAACAGAAGTGGATAAGATCTGTGTTTTCTCTAGAGGAGAGAGGGAAAAAAAGACAGGCTTAAGAGACCTCTGCATAATACCCAGTTCAGGGTTGGATTAGGGAGAATGGAGAAAGAGGCTGAAAGAAATAGGAACCTGCAGAGTCTAAGAGATCATGATCATCACAGCAGAGGGCAAAACCAGACACCACACTTTTCAGTGTTTTTCACTTAGATGAACATCATTTCTCCTCTAAGTCCCGGTTTTCTGATGTAGAAAGTGCAACCACACCTACCTATACAAACATGCTTTATCAACTGTCATAAGAACAGACCTGATGTGATTTTTGCTGTTATTTGACCTTCTTGATCCCAGTGGCTTGGTTTTTTCCCCCATTTCTGCTGTTTTAATGTAGTTCTGCAATGGCATGTCATCTATAATCCCTCTTACACAATTTGTCAGAAAACAATACGAGTATGGCTCTTTAAAGAAGAGGTCCACTAATGTCTTTCTCCAAATTTATCTTACCTCCTCCCCACCCGCCCCCCGATTGCTTTTCCACTGGATCCCCATGAGGGTATTCCTTTGAAGATATTTCTTCTTATAACTTAGAACCAAAGAAATCTAATGGAAAACAGCCTACTGAGAAAGGAGGACCATTTTATTTTGGGTGGGTTTGGAAAATCCCCGTTAGTGCTCAAAGGGGGGGGTGATTCTGAGCTCTCTGCTCAGAATTGACCCCTGGTGGTGCTTGGGGACCACAGGTGGTGCTGGAGATAGAACCTGGCTCAGCTGCCTGCAGGATGAGTACCTGAGTTCGGTGCATTTTAGACAACCAATCAGGTAGCCTTTTAATCTACTCAGACTAGATCTAGTTCAAGGACTAGAAAAATGGAGGAGGGGGAGCCAACCAAACATTTTACTTAGGGTGAGGAGATTCTTTCCTCACAGATGACAGCTCAGCAGGCAGCTGTGGGGACGTCAAAGATTGCAGACTCAGTTGCTTGTGAATTTTCCCAGCCATACTCTTGTGGCACAGATGTGGGCCAGCCCTCATCCTTTACCTGCAAGGAAGCGGAGTTGATTCTTCACTTTCATCATGCCATCGCCAGAGCCTCCGATGCATTCATCTTCATCATCGCCGCAGTCACCGCTCTCCAGGCCTTCCTCATCAATGGTTTTCTCCACAACTTTTCCTTTGGGCACAGACATGGTTCTCAGGAGCTGAAAGAAAAACACAGAGAATTGTAGCAGCTCTTCATTTGTCTTAGGTAGAACTACAACAGGATGCTATTAACCGGATGCATCCAGGGACCAAAGAGACAATACAGGGGTAAAGCACTTAGCGTGTACACAGCTGACCTCAGTTCAATCCTCAGCACTACACCTGGTGCCCCTGATCACTGCCGAGAGTGATTCCTGAGCCCAGAGTCAGGAGTAGTAAGGGATGAGCACTGGCAGGTATAGCCCTAAATTTCCCCGCCCAAGTAATTTCCCAAGTAAATTCCTCTGAAACAAGAAACAACACTTCGCACAAACTGATGAGAACAGCAGTGATTGGTCAACCCACGCTGAGTATTTAGAATAAATTTTCATGTATCAGGCCTTGAGTAAAGCCACTCAAAATCTATTTCCTCCACCATAGTTTCAAAATGATGCTCTGAAATTCACTTTGTAGAGAAGCTGTGTATTCTCTACCAGGATCTAAGTATTTGTGGTAATATGAACTTCTTTCTAAAAGATGCTCATGAAAGGTTATGACTGTTTTGCTCTTCAGGGTCTGGCATGTCAGTTGCACGGTCAATATCTCTCTCATCTTATATAACTTCCACCTCCCAAAGGTCTCTCTACCCACAGAATGAGCTGCCTCAGAGAGCATGTCTCAGACCCATCTTTCTTTTCATCATCACCTCTCTCAAAGGAGCCGCTATACCTGCTCTAGCCTCTGACCACTTCCCAGCTTTAATCCTTAATCTCAGTCCCACCTTTTCTTTTATAATTGTTTATAAACTATCTTTGGAGTATTTTCCCATCAGTTTACATGATATATATAATAGGGGAATTATGTTTAGGCCACACCTGGTGTTGCTCATGGATCACTCCTGGTGGGCTCAGGGGACCATATGGGGTGCCAGGGATCAAACCCAGGTCAGTAGCGAGCAAGGCAAGTGCATTACCTGCTGTAATATCTCTCTGGCTATCACAGCCTCTTTTTAAATAACAAGGGCCAACCAAACATATTGGATATCCTCAAAGAACATTTATTTACCATGTAGGTATCCAGGGCTAGAGCAATAGCACAGCGGGTCGGGTGTTTGCCTTGCATGCAGTTGACCCGGGTTCAATTCCTCTGTCCCTCTAGGAGAGTCCAGCAAGCTACTGAGAGTATCCGGCCTGCACAGCAGAGCCTGGCTAGCTCCCCAGGGCATATTCGATATGCCAAAAACAGTCACATCAAGTCTCACAATGGAGACGTTACTGGTGCCCGCTCAAGCTAATTGATGAACAACGGGAGGACAGTACTACAGTGCTACAGTTGGTATCCAGGAAAAAATACTGTGTACACATGCATATATTGATATTGTGCATTTTCTACTGATTATCTACTATACCAAAAATTCTTTGGAATATTTTTGTCATGTTCTGGGAATGCTACTCCTAATTTGGTGCTTGGGGGATGTTACTTATGTTTCTCAGGAATCACAGGGCATTGGGGATTGAACCTATGCCTCTTGTACACAAAGAAACTGGGCTATCCTTTCAGCCTCTGAGTATTACTTGGAACATGCTAAATAGCAAAGAGAAATGACTGCAAGGTTTCATGAAATTTTTAATATGCAAAGAAAGTCAAAATGGTGTTGAAGACACAAAACCACCTACCATCTCCTATCTCAGCACCATCTCCATGAAACTATTTCAATATGGTCACTCCTTACTGATATAGCTGGAGCTAAGGTGTGGAGTGCCGGGTCACTTTAAGTCTCCACTCATGGAACAGTTAACCAATCAGAATAAATAATGGGATGGCTGGGGGTGGGATCTGACAGCATATAAAAGGAAGCCCCTAGCCCCCATTTTTCTTCTCTCTCTCTTCCCCCTTCCTCCTGCCCTCCCTCCCCCACACTCTGTCAGGACTCTGCTCTCTCCTCTCCCCCGGGATCAAGTAGGGTGGAATGCCTAGTACAGGTGGGTGACTGAGGGCCAGACAGGGGCAGAATAACGCAGGGCTCAGATGCCCAGGAAAGCTCAGGTTTAGGCAGGGCTAGGATGGCCACATGTGACAAGGTGCTGAGCACAGTACTCTCACCCACGCACACGTGGATGTGGCCAGAGACTAGGAAAGCCAGAACAAGATAACAGGAACTTCTGGGGTACAGTTGGGAGGCCCAGTGACAAGGTATAAAGTTAGAAAGTGGTTCTCAAAAGTTCCGGTCTCAGAATCCCTTTTGATCTTTACTTGGAACCCCAGAGAACTTTTCTATGCAAAAAATGATATCTATCAGGGCCGGAGAGATAGGTAGGGCATTTGCCTTGCATGCAGCCAACCCCTGTTCTAGCCCCAGCAACCCCATATGGTCCCCTAAGCCCCACTAGCAGTGATCCCTGAGTGCAGAGCCAGGAGTAAGCCCTGAGCACTGCTGAGTGTGCTCCCCCTATCAAAAACAAAAAACAAAAAATATATATATCTATCAACATTTACCAACTTAGAAATTGTAACAGAAGCTGAAGAAGTCATTTAAATGTAACAACAGTTAAACAAAAATTGGTTTAAATAGAAAAGCCAATTAAAATATAACAACAAACCCATGGTGTGTTCATACAACATTTGCAGTGAAAATAAATGTATTTTCCCTAGTGTCAGACAGCTAGAAGGGTGGTAGAGTTATATATGCTGCAAAGCTTTGTAACATACAGCTTAATAGGATAATAGGGTAGCACTGTAGCACTGTCTTCCCATTGTTCATTGATTTGCTCGAGCTGGCACCAGTAACGTCTCACAACAAATTGTGAGACTTGTTACTGTTTTTGGCATACTGAATATGTCATGGGGAGCTTAGGATAATAGGGTAGCTAGATGAATATATCTATTTCATTCAATCTGTTGGAATATACTTTTGGGGTCAAAATATATCTGCTGAAATTCCAATATCTTATAGATATGGAGTGAAGAAAAAAGTATTTTAGGAATTTCTTTTGAGAGCTATGTTTTTATGCTTCTTAAAACCTTAACTAGTGGGAAAGGTTAGCTGAAATGTGTACTATGAAACCATAAAGTTTTCAAGTTCTGTTACATTAAATTTCAGAGTAGGGTGTCAACTATGTCATTTTGGGGAGGTTGGGAATTTGGGGCCACACCTAGCAGTGCTCAGGAGCTATTCCTGGTTGTATGTCAAGGGGTCAGTCCTGGCATTACTTGGGGAACCATATACGGTGCTAGTGATCAAACTGGGGTTGGCAGTGTGCAAGGCAACTACCTTACCCACCAGTACTATCTCACCAGCATTCACAAACCATTCCTTCCATACTGTCAATATAGGCTACAGTATCACTTCACTTTGACGAAGACACCATTATCTTCTTCATTATTAATTCTTATAATAAAATTATGCTTTTGACATAAGCATTTTCAGGTTCATTTGGAAAAAAAATTCATCCTTCATGTATGTCATGGGTCACTCAATTGTCCCCACAAAGGGGATTTGTGGTTGGGTACAGCTTAGTGACTATGATATTTCTCAAGTCATCTTACTTAACATTGTGCCTTTCATTAATCCCGAGGGCAAACATTTAATGGAGCACCTACTATGAGCTGTTTGAACTTGGCTTTGAAAGGATAAAGTCCAATAAGTTACCTTCTTAATAAAGATTCCCTGGTCACTACAGATTAGATTTATTGCCATCCTTTTCTATTATCACTCCCTTTATTTTTTGGGGGGGGGCAAGAGTTGGGCCACATTCAGTGATGTTCAGGGGTTAGTCCTGGCTCTGTACTCAGGAATTACTCTTGTTGGTGCTCAAGGGACCATATGGGATGCCAGGGATCAAACCCGGGTTGGCCTTGCGCAAGGCAAATGCCCTACCCTACAGTCCCTACAATAGCTTTCCTATCAGTCTGCCTCTCCTTCCTTTTTCTGTTCCTGCTAATATATTGGGGGGAAGGCACACAAAATAGTGCTCAGAAGCCAATCTGAGTCTGTGTTCAGAGGCCATGTCTGGTGGTGCTTGGGAGACTGTATATAATGTCAGGGTTTGAACCAGGGTTGTAGTCACAGGTATCAAATCAGTTAATTACAATTCACAAGACAGCCTTTTTCCTTCCTCCTCTCTCTTCAACACCTTCCAGATGAAACTCTCACTTTATAAAAAGAAAGCTATTAGGGTCATGCAAACCGAACCACTTAACTACAGGTGACTAATGCTTAAGATTCACTGTAAGCCTTTTAAAAGGACACCATCCTGTTAGATTTTAATTAAAACTTTATATTTGGTTTTGGGGCTATACCAGACTCTGCTGCGGGAGAGGGAGATTTCAGGGAGCCATGTGATGCCTGGGTTCGAACCCCAGCCACCAGCATGCAAAATATATAGTTAGGTTGCTGGGCTGTCAGTCTTGCCCCAATTAGATCCAAAAAGTCAAGGCTCAGAATTAAAATTAACTGATATAAGTGATTGGGACTGGGCCTCCTCCACCCAGATCCCCCATCTTCCAGTAGCTAGGCGTTACACCCACCAACTGCCCCCAGCGCCATGTTATCCCATCAACGGCCAAGACCCAGGGACTATAAAACCTAGCTCCCAGAAGTGCACGGCTGCAAATGCAATAGACCTCTTATTGTCTAGTTCTCACTCTTGGAGAACCCGACAGGCTACCGAGTGTATCCTGCCCACATGGCAGAGTCTGGCAAGCTCCCTGTGGCATATTTGATATGCCAAAACCCAGTAATAATGATGGAATCTCATTCCCCTGACCCTGAAGGAGCCTCCAATGTGGCACTTGCTAAAATCTCAGGGCTAGGACGAATGGAGATGTTACTGGTGCCTGCTCGAGGAAACTGATGAACAATGGGATGACAGTGATATAGTGTGATACAGTGATATAAGTGATCTTTATAAAACACAGGGCTGATCATTTTGATTTAGTATCACTATAGCCAGTCTTGAAGTCACTATATATGCCACCCACAGCTTGGCACTCCTTAGTGTGAAGTGCATGAGACTTTTTG